AGGATGTGGAAAAAGTGAATTTATACAATGCAAAAAAATATATTTTATATATTCTACATACCTAAAGAACCTTGACTTTCATTCCACGGTTTCGTTAAATTTAAACAATGTTTGTGAATCCCAGGCCCTGAAGATGATCTCAATAAAGATCGAAACGTTGGCACGATAAAGAAAATGTTTTTCTGAAACCTACATCACACCAGACCGCATCTCACGATTTCTAAATAAATGTTGTTAGCTATGTTTATTGTCTCTTTTTTTATGTTTTGTTTCATTTTTCTTTATTTTTGTGCTTTTTTTTAAAGAATGTTGAGAAATAATTGTAATTAAAGTTTGCCCAGGACAAAAAGTTGAATTACTGTATTAACCCCATTCCCCCTTTTCACACCGTCACTACTTTTTCCCAATTTAGCACTGAATTTTTGCATTTTGTTTCGATGTAATTAAATAAATGGGTAAATCACTAGAAAGCTCATTAAAAGAAGTTTTTATATTTTCCAAGCTCAACCTTGAATTTTTTCAACGAGGTTGCAATTTTAGTTTTTTCCTTCAAATTATAAATTCAGCAGTTTTTGAAAGATTTAGTTTTTGTTTTTTACCAAAAAAAAAAAATAATAAGTTCTAGAAGTATGCCTTCTGAAAGGAAATTTAATGCTCTGTTCAATGATTTTCCCACAAAAAATGAATAGTTCAAGAGCTACGAGTAGATTTATAACGAAAACAGTTGTTAGTAAATAAAAACTGAATATTTGCGAAGTATAGAGACGGTGTTATGATAAAAGAGTTTTTCATTTCGAAAGGAAATATAATCAAATCAATTTTTTTAGTTACTTAGGCCCACTTCAACTTGGGGATAGCTCCCATTACAAACATTGTTTACATTTAACATATACATTTAGGATGTGGAAAAGTGAATTTATACAATGCACAATGTTTGAAAAGAAAATGTTTTTCTGAAACCTGCATCACACAAGACCGCATCTCACGATTTCTGAATAATTATTAATTTACAACTTGTCAAATTAAACAACGAACCATTTTTTTTTGTACTAAGTTCGAACCGGTTTATGCTAAAGAATAAAATTTAAACATTCGCAAAATATCTCAGAAACATTTCTCAGTTTCGAAACTTTGTTTGCATATAAAATAACCCTGACTTTTACTTTATTTACTCTCTTAATTCTTCTCTCCGAAATGTTTACCCAAGGGCAAGACCACTTCTGATGTAGTCGGACTAAATTGTTGCTTAATAATATTTAACTAGCATTACGACTGTATGTGGAGATAATAGCGGACGATCGTTGAGTGTGGTAATATTGACCGCAAGAAGTGACCCCTGTAAGCTTTTGGGGTCAAATTAAACAGACCGGACCGACTTTGCCAAGCTTTCAACTACTGAAAAGGAGATTAATAGATTAATCGTAAGCTTTGCGAAGTAGTTTACGATCTTTTACGACCAAATGCCCATCTTGTATCCAATTCAATCAACCTCAACGATAACACGAACTTTTTTACACTAATCTTGTTTAAAAAATCCAAAATCTTTCTGTTTAATTGAGTAATAATAAATTAAAGAAGTTGAATGATCATTGGGAAAAGTTGTTTTCATAAAATGGAGAAATTCATTGTGCCCACGGGCATAAATTCTTACGACCATTCTGCTAATATTGCTGCTTCTGAGAAAGAATTACAGCGGGGGGAAATATAGAAAGAGGTTCGGATAACTTACGATCTTATCGGATAAATTGATTAACTTTTTCCTCTCAATATATGAAAGCAACTCAACTTTTTGACCTAAAAAAACTTTGCCGAAATATTGAATGCCTAGTTGCTTATTTTCTCGGCGACTTCGCATAAATCATTCGGCTGATTAAAAAAAAGGCCGCATAAAGAGTCCTTGAGGATTTGTCTTTTGTTTTTTTAAAGACTCTCAGAACTGTCGGAAGAAGTTAAAGTGGGTCACCTCAGCCCTCGGAAGAAAGATGGATCTCTTTCACCTTGTCATGATCAGTCAATTAATTTTCGAGTCTTCCGGAAAACGAAGACGCCTTCTGTTTGTTATGCGTGGGTTGACGCTGCCTGTTCCTTCAAATTAGACTTCTTTCGGCTCCTCGGCACGCAGAATGAACTTCGGAAAACTTTTTTCCCAGAGCAAATAAACATAAAACTTCTCCAACCCGTCTCATCCTTTGTTATTTTAGCTTTCCTCACGTACCATTTATTTGCGGTAAAAATTGGTACCCGTCCGAACTTTAGCAGTTGTTTTCTTTTAAAATTTATTTAGAGCTTTTATATAACTTAAGGCCGATTGACCAAATAAATTATTTTCAATTAATTAATCTTTAAATTATTTAAGGTATTGGTTAAGCTATAAAAGTCAGTATCACGAGCGTGATTCGAACCCACGACCTTCGGCTAGATGCGGCGCTGCTCAAATCACATGAGCTGTCGTGTCTTCGATCCACTCGGAGACCAATTTGCCATCTCAACCCCAACTTTTTTGAATTAAGGTTAAGTCCGAAGATTGGGATACTAGAGGACACAAAAAAATGCAGAAGATAGATCATTAATATGGCAAACAATTAAATCAAACTATTTCTGTTTTTCATGGCATTAACACATTAATAAAGCAAAGCTACTTAGCAAAAATAATTTATAAAATGTATCTTACGAAGCCTAAATGATTATAATAAAACATTATTCTACAAAAATGAATACAAAACGTATTGTCACCTAAGTTATTAAATTAGTCAAAAGTTATACTAGAAACTGTAATGACTCTTACTCTGGATATAATTAAGATAAAATTATGCTTAAAAGCTTAATTATGGAATGTATTTTTTATATAAATCCATTTAATTATTCAGAAATCGTGAGATGCGGTCTGGTGTGATGTAGGTGGTTTCAGAAAAACGTTTTATTTATCGTGCCAACGTTTCGATCTTTATTGAGATCATCTTCAGGGCTCAAAGAGTTTGTGTTCTGCGTAAGTGTGCCATTCTGGCGTGTCGTGTTGAGAATGCGGCACTCTCAATAAATATCTCAAAAAAATAAAATGCATCATTCATCAATAACCGTAATATTTTGAAACAGTATTTATGTGTTTTGTTTTATCCGAACGATATTTTGATATATTTACATAGTGGAAAAATCCCCTTGTCAAATAAGTTCTAAACAAGAAAACCAGGTTGCAAATGATTATTATTAATAGTATTTTTTTAAATACAAATCCCCAAAACGGAATATTTAAACTTTAGCGTCACCCTTACGTTATTCAAAATTTCCCTAATATAAAAAATGTGAAATTAACTATCTTTGAATAATTATTCAGAAATCGTGAGATGGGGTCTGGTGTGATGTAGGTTTCAGAAAAACATTTTCTTTCTCGTGCCAACGATTCGATGTTTATTGAAATCATCTTCAGGGGGATTTACAAACATTGTTTAAATTTAACAAATACATGCGTGCCAGTGAGATGTTGCTGTTTATAATATCTCACTGGCACTCTCGACACACAAGAATGACACAATTACACAGAAAACAAACACTTTGAGTTAGTAGAAATACTTTGATTGAATATAAAAAATATATTTTGCATTGTATAAATTCACTTTTTTCCACATCTTACATGTATTTGTTAAATTTAAACAATTTGTAAATTTTAGGCCTTGAAGATGATCTCAATAAAGATCGAAACGTTGGCACGATAACGAAAATGTTTTTCTGAAACCTACATCACACCAGACCGCATCTCACGATTTCTGAATAATTATCGATTAACGGTCACTAATCACCACATAAATCCATTATATTTCGTGGTCTATTGACCAAATTACTTCTTTCAGTTAATTAATATTTTTATGTAAGGTTTGGGTTGAAAATGAAAAAGCTAGTGCCACGAGCGGTATTCGAACCCACGACCTTGAGCAGAGTGACAATAGCAGAGTTGGAGTCCGAGTGAATCAAAGTCAGGATAGCTAAGTGGTAGAGCAGCGACGTAGCCGAACGTCGTCGGTTCGAATCCCGCTCGTGACACTGACTTTTTTATCTCAACCATGACCTTACTTAAAGATTAATTAATTGAAAAAAAAATTTATTAATATGCTTTATTATTTATTTAGTTAAACAAATTTATCCGTTCCGTATGCAAATGTTTGGATAAACATTGAAATCATTAGCTTTATTACTTATGTTATTTTCGATTACGAGAGAGGGGAATTATTCGGTTGACCTAGTAATTCTTCTTTTAGTGGGAAAGGCTTTAAAAGCCGTATTCTTGTATCGTTAAAACGGCTTAAGACGGATTAGTGAGATCTAGTAATGCTTTTACAGCTAAGATTTACCGTTTGGAACGCGTCTTAGCTTTAAGAGAATTTATTTAGGGGTATTTCATGATATGTTCATTGGTCGTATTTATCATATTCATTGTTACGTTTATGTTGAATTTGCGAATTTAACATCTACGAGTGCTTCTCTTTGCTGTTTTCGTGTTTATTTATTATTTTATGTGCTGAGTGTTTGTTTGGTTGATGTTTAATGTTGACTTGTATGAAAGAGTGAAAAATTACCAAAGAAAGTGCATATTTTTCTTAACACGGTACTAGTTTTTCCTTTATATAATTTTAGTTGTTTATTTCTTCTTTCTCGCTGAAGGGTAACAACGAATGTGGGGGATGACCGGAGGCGGTCCATGTTTTACGTCACTTTCTGCTCGTACATTCCGGGATATGATTGCTTAGTCTCGATTCAGATTAACGATATCCCAGGGGAGGCGTCAAGATTAATATCTAATATATATGTAAAACAGACTCGGAAGGGCCAGGCTCTGTCTCCGGTCCTTCGACCACGAAACACTTCGACGAGAAATCCCGTAATCCTAGTAAAATTTAATTGCGCTTACAAATGTGTAATTCTCTTGTAGATAAGATTACAATTTGCATTTTAATCTGTTGTTCATTTAAGTTTAGATAATTCCATCTAAGTCGTCGTTTCGGTTTCAGGACGAAGTCTGCCTCGTCGCTCCTGCGCCTGTCGTCATCGGAAAGAGATCCACGCACGAAGACCTAGACCCAAACCGAGAATTGAAAAAGGTAAGAATTTCTAATAATTTAGAATAATTTCGATAAACCGGAATAATCCAATAAATAATCTTTTGAGCTTTTAATTTACATAGTTCATGTCAAAACAGATATTAAGGGTTTGTCCTCGGGGAAAATCGTAGCGCATCCTTTTATTCACGTTTTTACGTTGTCGTAAAAGTTAACTTGTCGCAGTGAAAGTAAACCAGATTTATGACTGCTTTAGGCAATAAAAAAGGGTAATGACCTCGAGGTCCTTTGATTATCGTTTCACCTCCTTCGGAAAATTCCTTGTGAGGAAAATTTCTTTTAGTTTATATTGAAAACTTCTTGCGGTATCAAAAGCGGCTTAGGAAGAGGGAAATAAATACTAAAGCCGTTTATAGCTTTAAAAGATCGCACTTATTATGCAGGGCTTCTTCGTGTTATAAAATCAGTCAGTTGAAGTAATTCATTGGGAAGGTGTTTTTGGTTCCAGGTTAGTCTTGTGTCAAGATGGAAGCCCAAGGTAGCGGACGTATTCTGTTTTTGGGATGGGAGTATTATTGAGGAATATTGTATGAAGAGTTGTACTTCGAAGGGTGAATTCATGGATGCTTTCATTAAGCTTTATACACCAGTGTTTGCCCCATTCGGTTATTTGCAGGACATGTGCCTGGAGGTCCTCCAAAACAATTCTGTGATCAAGAGGATATCATAACTGTGTCGTCGGCAAAGGATGCAAGGTTGGGTGAAATTAAGGCATCTCTACTTTAGAGGAGGAGATGTTTGGATAGGTCGTGAGGCATCTGCGGTTCTTCATCAGGACACCATTCAGGCTGACATAATCCGAATTGTATCCTTACCCGATAATAAATTCCCGAAGATTCTTCATGGGCAGATTATAGATAAAAAGGCATATCATGCTGTATAACTTGGGCTTGTCCTTAACCGGAAACAACATGGCTTGTCAGTCGGTCATTTCTGACAATATAAAGAGGCTACATAGCATAGCTAAGGCCATTTCAGACAGCTTTCCATTCCATAGAGAGCTTTTGTATAAATGCAAATCCCCAAATTATTGATCTTTCGTTAACCTTTGATCGTGTGCGGTGAATTGATTTGCTCTATTGGGGGGACCTGCTCTGCACTGGCTGCTGTAATTAAACAATATTTTGAAAGAGAAGGAATGTCTAATACGGTTTTGTCAGTGTATATTAATCCCAAGGTACTGTTTTGGTCAATTTTTGAAAGGAGGCTTATTCTTTTAGGGCCAAATTCAAAGTGACTTGGTGAGGGTGTTTTTTTGAGGAATCGCCTGTATTCCTTCCTCACCCCCGACTTAAATAAATTTGCATGTGTTGTGATGAACCATTGGTGGGGACGGCTAATTCGCATCTGAACTACAATGTATCTGTTCTTACTGGTTACCGTGTTCCTTGTTCTACTATTATCACTGTCTTTTTTTCCTAACTTCCCACTATTAATCATTAACATTATAAAAGGAAGGGAAATTCGAAAAGGTAGGTTGAGATAGGAAGTGTTCGAGTGGATCGAAGTCACGATAGCTCAAGCGGTAGAGTATTGAGCCGAAGGTCGTGGGTTCGAATCCCGCTCGAGACTCTACCTTTTTCATTCCAACCAATACCTTACATAAAGATTATTGAATTGAATGAAATTATTATTTATTTTTACTATTATCTCTTTTAATATACAGTTCGGCTCGTCGTTTGAAAAAATATTCCTTGACAGTGCATCTATAGAGGAGTAAGAATTCCTTAAACCTAACGGTTTCAACTCAATCCGTTCAAAAGATAAGATTTTTCATGGTTTATTTTATTATTTTATTTTATTTAAAAAACTATTTTTGTGCATAATACCTGAATTTTCTCCTCTCTAACCTAACTTTTCGAAACCTTTAACCCCACTTTTAGATTTGGCACCGAATTTCCTACCTGGTAATTCTTAATTTACATGCCTGATCAACTCTTGGCGATGCATTTAATCCCCAGGATATGTCGCCGACTAGGTTTTCACAACTTCGAACTGAAATTACCACCAAAAAAAAATAAAATAAAATAATAATAATAATCGAAGTTTCAAAATCATAAACCTCATAAAATGTTGACGGTTTTAGCTTGTTTGACATTTTTAAATGTGTAATGCAAAGTAGAATTTACAGAAATTGATCCAATATTTACATTTCGCAAATTTCATGGTGTTTGTACTGTTATTTTGTAAATTGTGATTTTTAAGTGGATTAGCCTAAAAGGACATTCGGTGCTCAATTTCAAAATTGGATCAAAAGGTAGTAAAAGTTAGGTTAGAGCAGAGAAAATCAATTTTATTTAACAAACCCTAAAAAAGTTGTAACTTTTGAACGGATTGAGATAAAACCATGATTTATGGCATTCTACTCCACTTTAGATGTACTGTCACCGAAAGAAAAACAAGTAACACGACGAGCTGACTTCCCTGAGTATTTAGTATATAAGGTTCTTTAGTATTTTTTACGTTTATTATTAACATTTGCTTTGTTTGATTGATTCAGTTGTGTCATTATGAATGATTATAAATACGTAATGTATATACTTGCAAGTAATATTCCTGTTATTTTCATTCAATTATGTTTTATTATTACTGAAATTTCTTTTAATTTTTGAAAAAAGTAATTTTCATTTTGCAAATACTAATTTGTAAATACTCATTTTAAATACTCAGAAGAGAGATTTTAGTTATTTAGGTTTGCGTGCACCCTCAGTCTGTCTTAAACCTTGCAAAATGTCTTTCTTGTTTTGTTATACATATCTCCATATTAGAAATTTTGTATATACAAAAGAATAAAGAGTGGTAGTTAATATCACCTCTCCTGCAGCAATTAAGTCAGGCAATGTTTGCGTTTCTAAAAATTATAGTTCAGCAAGTTAATTGAAATAAATTTGTACTGTTATAACTGAAAGACAGTTTTTCGAATGATTTCTTGATTCGGACCTAAAAAATCTTTCAACCAAGCTTTAACATTTCAATGTTGTTTATTATTTTTGTTTATATTCACTAATTTCGTGGTCCGCTTGACCAATTAATATATTACAATTAATTAAGGTTTTTAGTTGAGATAAAAAAGTCAATGGCACGAGCGGGATTCGAAGCCATGATCTTCGGTTAGATACGCCGCTGCTCTACCATTTGAGCTATCGTGACCTCGATCCACTCGGACACCAACTTCCCATCTCCAAATTCAAAAGGTGGGGTTGAGATGAGAAGTTAGTGTCCGAGTGTAACGAGGTCACGATAGCTCAAGTGGTAGAGCAGCGGCGTATATAGCCGAAGATCGTGTGTTCTAATCCCGCTCGTGCCATTGACTTTTTTATCTCAACTAAAAACCTTAATTTTTGTTTATATTTTTTTTATTGCGTTTTTATTTTAAAAAATCGAGACACGTAAAGTTTTATTTTTTGTGTAGTTTCTCTTGAACTAAAAAAGATTTTATTTGTCTGTCCGGGATAACGGGATACGGATAGCAACTTAATTATTTCAAATTACAAGATCAACTGTACTTTTTAAAAGGTTCTTTGATGCTGAATTCAACGGTGTAAAAGATTTTTCATTTGGACCAATCCTTTTTAAGTTATTTCCAAAACATTGTTTTCGGATAAACGAAATCTTTTCCATTTTCTTCAACCCATCGCCAGTTTATTTATTTATCATTTTAATTGATAATAAATTACTTGCTCGTGGTCCTGAAAGAAAAATTTCACAATAATTTCCTCAAATAACGTCTTTTAACAAGACGTTCGGGATGTACTAACTAAAACGCAATTCAGCTTGATGCAAATTTCGGTCAACAAAAAGGAAATACAAGGGGGAACAGAAGTTAAACTCACCCTGTATACATCTGTACATCTTGGCCATACATGGGTGATCGCTAAGGATAAAATAACATGAGTTATTGTAATTAACAACAGATAGGGTTTTACAGTAAACAATTATTCAAAAAGCCATTATTCTCTTGAACCCGTTGCCGAAAATTGGTGCATAATATTTCCGATATTCTGTATGTTTGATTTGAAATTATCATATACAGCATTTAATCCAGATTATTATAAGCAATCTGAAGGCATTGTTAACGTGTATATGTATTGATTTATCCTGTGTGTTTATGTAATGTTAGCATAACATTAATGCTGATACACTATTCGGTTCTGTTTTGGATTTTCCAAATTAATGCTATTATGGGTTTCCTGTGCGTTATATTAGTGAGAGAATTTAGATCATCGCAATTATCCCACCAGAAATCCAATTTACGTGTTTCTGCGCTTGTATCAAACCGCCCAAAATCGCGAGTGATTAATTGGATCTATCGTTTGCACTGGTATTCAATTCCAGGGGAGGGTGGAGCGTTTTGTTTTCCGAGAAAAATACATCCAATCGTAGTTAGTTTAATCAGAACAATAACCTAAATGAGGAAACAACATACAGAAGAAAGTTTAACGAATTGTCTGCTTTTTTTATTAGTTTGCGTACTGCGGGCCGATAAAGGGTTGCAATTCCGTGATCGGGGCCGGGATTTAGCGTATGCACCCCATGCAACCCCCGGGGCACGCACACGTCGTAGGCCTAGTGTATTTATGGAAAGTCCGCATGCGATCCTCCTGCTTAATCAATGCGTCTTCCCCTATCATCCTCTATTTGCATTCCCTTTAAGGAAATTGGACTTCAGGGTCTTCCGTTCCGAATTAGGCCCGCTTAGTTTTTAAAGCAACCTCCATCTAAAACAAATTTTACCGGGTTTGAAAAATATCTGGACTGTGAACAAAAAATGAGCTGGCATTACGTTTTCAGAGACCATTCCCTTGTGGACAGCTTCACAGTCGACCGGGTAAAAGGGGTGATCCGAATGTTGCTACAAGGGACCAATCGACCGTAAACCGTTCGACCCTACATTCTCATCCTTGCCCAACAGAGAACAAATGTATTTAATCCCGTCGATGGCATCTCGGTGTGAAGATATGTGCCTTATGTTAAAAAGATTT